AATGCTCTCGTCAATCAAAATCTAAGTGGTTGGGTTTTTCATGCTGCCTCTTGAGCCCTTATAGTGCTGTATATAATTGATAAGTGCAAAATATTCATATATTTTTATTCCTTTTAAACTATGATTTTTAAGGTATTTCAAACTTATTTGAGTTGATTGGAAGTTATTTTCATGAGTTTTCCATGTAGAAGAGACTTTGTGAATTAATCATTAAAAGATAAGAAATTCTGCATTTTACATTTTGGACCTAGCTTTTTGTGACAATTTTGTTTTTTTTTTTCACCTAGTTAGAGTTTCAGAATGAGAATGTGGGCTTAATCTAAGTTTAAATACACATATCAAGCTTTCTATGAAGGTATTATGGGCAAAAATTCAATCCTATTTGGATCTCGAATTAGACCTACAAACTCGGGCCAGAATCCTTGTCGAAGTAGGATTCTCTACTTTCACACTAAATATTCAAATGGAAATATCTTGCACTTTTGATATCGAAATCGAGTGATTCAGAAACCCTAATTTATCTATGCATTGAAAACTACAACTTTCATGAAAGATTCAAAGTCAGATAAGATTGTTTTAAAGGATAAAATCCAGACACAATCTAATTAGTTGAAATAGGTCTCCTGATCTGATTCAGAAGCTAATAATGCCAAGCATTCCAATACGGCAGAGAGTCTGACATAAGAATAATGGGTCTTAAGACCTGATAAAATTACAAATCAATCCTTTAAGATGTTATGAATGAAATAATTTAGATGGAATAATCGGATAGTGCAAGAAACCAAGTCATAATCAAAGTCTAAATTGCAACAAAGTTGATATTACAATAGAATTGTGACAGGAACAGAATCAGTTTTCAACACAAATTCTAAAAGCTTTATCCAAAACTTAAAGACTAGATAAAGAAGGAAAAAATTTATCATTATAAAGACTCCCAATTATCCTAAGAATCTTAAACATTTTGGCAGCAAAGAGGGAGGATAAAGAGAGCGAATAAAGAGAGTAGAACACAACTAAAACAGGTTTGAGAAACATTTCTTTCTTCTCTATTTTTATCAATTTTCCAGCAACCATGAACTAAACTCCTGAATTCGATTTAAGAGGGATACACATCATCTTTATTAGCACGTGATAAGAAGTAATGTTATCATTGTAATTATTTCAGATTCATGTATTTATTTTTTCTTATTTAGAATTATGTTATTGATTATTATTAAAGCTTATTAAATTGTTCTGAGATAGCATGCATGCTTTCTGGTTTCTTTAAATCGATAATTATTGTTAGTGACTAGAGTAAGAAGCAAAAGAATGAATTTGATTGCTACAACTTTCATCTTGATTTATCATGGAAGAAGAAACTAAGTTAAAATTATCAAGCTTAGAATAAATGCATAAATTTTATTCCTAAGACTCATGCCGAGTAAATGAAAATTTCTTTCAATATTACATTCATTTGATGGTAAGAAATTGATTAGAGAGCTTTTCCTAATTAATGTACTCTTAATCTCATTGATTTCCCTTAGTTTTAAGGGATATCAAATTTATTTATTTTTATAATTATTGTTTCTTGAATTTTTCATTCAAATCCCTCGTTCTTTCTTATTTCAGTATACTATAAGAAAATTAAATGAAATTTCTCTTGGGTTCGACCTAGGTTTTCATGATCATACTATAAATTTTTTTTGTTTGTGATAGTTAAGTCAGAATTATATTTTAGTGATTGACATTACTAAAAGATGAATGTCTTCTCCCAAGTACAAGAGTGTTGAAGTAATAAATAACCCGGCAAGACCGGGGTCGAACCA